ACACTTTTGTACATGCTTTTACTAAATCTGTTATAGAGTTGCGATCTGTTATACATTTTCTTATTTAATCGCATCTCTAGTCTGTTACACAACTTGAACTTAAATCATTAATGCATACAAACTTAATTTTGTACTTATTTAGAAAATTCGTTTGATCATGAATTATTTCGTTATTTTTATGTGTTATGTTTATTCACACTGTGAGATAAACAACATGAGTTATGAATGACTGCTATTTATATAAGTTATCACATCTATTTCTGTACTATAGAAATTAATTTCAATGACAGAAACTCAGCCAATTTCATGTGACACAAATTAAGAACTAGTTGGTTACCCTTTATTTGGCACTGGGATGTTACTAATAAGCATATACTATATATTTTATATAGTAAATATTATTAGTCACATCCAAATGCTGAATGAGAGGTCAACAATCTGTATAACACATTCTCGCGAGTGATTCAAATAATGTCACCAGTGCATAAAGCAGAAATAAAGTACTTTCTATAATTTAAATTAATAGCCAATTCTCAAAGCAAATGGATTATAAACTGTAACTATAAACAAACTAACGCCATATGGCGTTCTTCTAGAGAGGGTTGCAAAATAATAATGATAATAATAGCCAAAAATACAGCAATTACGCAACATTAACGATCGTGGCAATGGTGATTTTCTAAAGAACTTATAAATAGCCCATTTATTTTATTTATCTTTATCATTACCTAATTATTCTCTTTAAAATATTTTTTTAAAAAATTGATTTCAAACATTTTATATATTTTAAGATCGTGCCCAACGGTACGGGTATTTGCTAGTGATCATAAATTGTCGTTTGGTGATACGTACGGCCAATTATTTTTTAGTTGAGCAAAATTACCATTACTTATCAACGCTTCGTCCAATATTGTTATTCATATTCAGTCTTACATTCTTCGCATAATACGTAAAAGTCTTAATAATTAAATCGCTATGAAACTATCCAATTTTCTTTATAACGTTGTGACACAATATTTATTTTTATTGTTACTCATAAAAACGACGAAATCAGTTTTTACCTACACAGAGAGAACATTTGGCATTAGCTCCCCTCAAAAACCACTTGTAACAGACATTAAAACTTATAGCGACGACACAATTCTTGTTAGAATTATACGGAATTATTCAATGCAAGCAAACAACGATTGTTTAATGCTTAATGTATCAAGCTTAGAACAAATATTACGTATAAGGGTTATTCACTTGAATGGAACAACCAGTGAAATTAATCATTATTTAGATGATTTAGATGTACATCCTATAAATTACTGCCTATTTAATGATGGATCGAACCCTATTCAAATATATCCTTTACAGAATCCGTTTATTTTAATAACTTATATGAATACTACAAATGTTTATGATCCTAAAGCTTATGAAGAGTGGGGAAGTGTCATTGATTGGAACGGCAACATTAAAAAGTAAGATAATTTATAAATTTTATAAAGATTATTATTATCGCTATTGCCCCATCAATTAATAATTATTCTACAAATTAATCAGTACAACATATTTTGGACCAACTTATGTTGATTTTTCTGACGGCTCCTGGTCACCTTATAGTAGAATTCGATCAAATATAAACATTAACCTTGGTTTTCTTAGATTTGCACTTGAACCAGATTCCAATCTTCCCTTTTTGAAATGGAAGCAATATTCAGTGTAATTTTTTTAGATTTCTTAAAATTATTATTTGCTATTATTTATGATATTAATTAATAATCAATTAATATAGTGATTCTTCTGGGAATTTATCAGAGCTAACAAGTAATATAACTTCATTAAGTTCAAATGAAAAAATTACTATAGATACTATGCCTACCGTTGATGGTGGATATGCAATACTTTATGCTTATGATTTTAATAGTAATAATGATAGCAATTTGTTACTTCCGCGTGGAGGACTGAATGTCACCTTTATATCCTACAACCAAACTTTGAATAGAACGGCAGTTCTCTATCAATTAATTCAACCCAATATGAGTTTTGGTGAATATTATTGTGAAACAGCAGATGCATCAATTTTTGGGAGTAGCCACGTTTGTTTTGTTTCATTTATGAATAATAATAATAATACATTGTATCCGTATTATGTGAAAATCAGTTTTTTATCATCAGGAGCAGTGTTATCATCAAATGCAACGCATTTCCCTAATATTACTGATATTACTGATATGTCCAGTTTGGTATGGAATATAAGTCCAATGCCGTTAGGTGGTTATATATTATATATAACAGTCAATGATACCCTTAATATATATGCTTATGATGAATATGACAATCCAATTAATTTGAATCAACCGGGACCTTTTTATACAAATCTGTTTGGAGCAAGTGTTGTTATGAAGGATAATACCATTCTATTCGCCTCACCCATTACAGATGATAAAAATACTACTTGGTCTTTGAACTCCACTTTGTTGCCTGCAGCTCTAAAAGACAGTGGTATGCTTATATTAATCCTAACACGAATTATTCTGTATCATAAAAATTTTAACATTTTTGTATAATTTAGGTTATCAAAATCCTTTGATTAACGGAACTATACCATCTATCAATTATACTGTCAGTCTAGCTATGAACACATTAAATATTACATTTATTGATGCCATTGAAGCTGTTGTTTTATCAAATTCCAGCAATGCCAGCATTATCGTCTATAAAACCTCTGATAATAGCGTTAGACAAAAAATTTTAGCAACAATGAAAGATTTTGTCAGTATCAGTCCTGATGGGAAGACTATAGTCATATCACTCATTAATAGCACATTGAATCAGTATAATGAGGATTACTATGTTCAAATGGACAATAATTTTGTAAGAAGAGCAATATATGATGAACCTATAAAAGGAATTGAGAATGGGACTTGGAAATTTAAAACTGATAACAGTAATTGGATTTATTTTACATTTATTTTACTGTATCTATATTATCCATTTTAACTTTTAATTTTTTAAATTATTCAGTATATAAAGCGAGTTCCTCAGGTATTGGCATTATATTTGTGCGCATAAAACATGCTTCATACAGTTCTCATTATATGTATTTCCTTATAGAAACTGCCGCTACTGGTTTAGCACGTCTCACTGTAAATGCTTCCCATTTCTTTAATAGAACTGACCTGCCAACATATTTTGATACTCTATTAAATGAGCTTGCTTTAAAAGTGCCAGTAAATCGGAAGCGTTTAAGTTCAGATTATAAATTTCAGAATTTCCATGACTCGGGTCAAATTGTAATTTCAATCAGTATAGCTTTGCCATTTAATGAAACTGAAAATACTGTTTCGGGGGTACTTTCTGATTTAGATAATATGATTACTAATAAAAAAGTTACCAGTTTCTCCTTGGGCACGACAAATGATTTAGATGAGAAATTTGGCTTTAAAGTAAAAGGTGTGTTAATTGATTATTACATCCTAAATATTAATAAAGTTTAATCACAGATTAATTTTCATATTACAGAGGGCTTATGGGATAAATTCAAATCACAAATGATTGCAGCGATTGTAATTTTTATAATATGTATAGTTTTTTATATACTGAGCTATAAGTTACACTCGAAAAAATTTGAAGCAATAAGTTCCACAATATTAAGGCTTGGATTAATAATCTCTAATTTTATTCTTTCAATTCTCTTTATCGTTTACAATTCTAATGATATACCAGAGCTTCATTTACATGTACTAAGGTATTTATAATCAAATTATTGTTTAATTTATTGGTTACCTTATTTTTAATTCATTCTAAAACAAACAAACAAACACATAAAGTATTATTTTACTTAGTGTTTCGCTATTCGCAAACTTCTGTATAGCTATTTTTACTATCTACAATGGAACTAACGATCCAGTTGTTGGAAAAGACTTTAAAGATTGGGTTACTCGTAATAAGGATTTAGTGGCTGTGCTTACTATATTAGCGGCAACTGATTATGAGTATTTGACAATTTTGAAAGATGTGCCTAGATTTAATAGAATAACAATTGATTATAAGTATCTGACATTCAAGAAAGATGTACCTAAATCTAATAAACATACGCCTGAATCTAATAAATATACGCCTAAATCTAATAAACATTCGGCTGAATCCAATAAAGATATGCTTAAATACAATAAAGACGTTCTTGACTATAATAAAGAAGAAACTGATTATGAGTATTTAACGATTTTGGAAGACGCACCTAGGCCTGATGAAATTTCCGAGGAAGTCAAACAAATTAATATGCTTAGACGGGTATTTAGGTTCTCGATTGTATATGGAGCGATATTTGACATTTTTTTTAGGAATATTCCACAGATCGTAATTCAAGTGAGAAATATTATTATATTTATTTGTTAAATTTTTTTTTTATTAATTTGCTTTTAATTTAAATATCTTATTTTTAAGGTCGTTTATTACAAATCTGTCGTGTTCTATAGTTTAGTGCCACTTCTCTTATTAGTTACTTCTTGCCTTAAGATTTCCATGATATTATTTAGATTTATACACAAAAGAGTGTTATTGTATATTTGTGAGTGAGTATAAAATTTTGTTTCGTATTTTCTTTATTTCTAAAAATCAGCATTCACTATATTAATTTGTCCTTTTAATCAAAACATTTATTCAAATCAATTATTAGGAGGTTTGTATAAAATTTTATATCATTCATTTATCAAAACTTAAATATTATATCCTAACTTACCTTACCATAATAAATTATACATGCATTAAAGGGAGTAAGTATTAAAGCGCAGTTTATAAAATTAGCATTTAACAATTAACTATATCCTTTAATTTATTATACAAATATTAAATTCTCAGCTTGTGAGTATAAAACTTCATTGCAAAATCATTCATTATATATTACATTTGTGTTAACCAATTACATATATTTAATAGGAGGTGAGTCAATTTATATTTTTTAAAATCGACATTGATGATTCACCATTAAAAAACAAGGCACTTATCATTTACGTATGGATTTAAAGGTTAGTATTGCTGCTAATAAAAAAACATTACAAAGAAAGACTAATACAAATCTATACATGTTATTTGTCATAAAAGGAACCGGTTTTATGGAAAATGTAAAGAATGTAAACGATACAACACTTCCCGAGTTTGGTGCCAACATTGTGATCCTCAGAAAGTAACAAAGGGATGGACAAGCAATAATAAAGAAATTGATAATGTCATCAAAGATTTTCAACTTAAAGCCAAGGAATATGATGAGGTTATTGAATGGATTCAATTCGATAAATTAAAAGATATTAAAAGGATTAAATGGGTTCCAATAGATGGAAATAGTTTACAGGAAATTAAAGAGGAAGAAACTAAAGAGGAAGAAATTAAAGAGGAAGAAATTAAAGATGAAGAAATTAAGGTGGAGGAAATTAAGGTGGAGGAAATTAAAGAGAAAAAAATCAAAGAGAAAAATATTAAAGAGGAATTAGATTTTTATATGGCAACTTGGGATGGTATACGAACGATTAAAAAAGAATCTGGAAGATATATACGATCATATACTAAGGCATGCGTTGATATCATAAAATTGAGTAGTTCTTCGGATGATATAAAAAAAGTAAGTTAAATTGTTCACTATGTTATTAATTTATTACACTGAATAATATAAGACTAATAAATAAAATGTATATCTTGTAAGTTACTTGATATGCTTAATGAAATGATGCAAGAAGAAAATAATAAAGTGAAATATAAAATATATGGAATTGCTTATGGAAAAGTTCAAGATAATGAAACTGAACAATACATGATTGTTCTTGATTATTATTTCAACAAAAGAGATACCAGCTACGGGAAGTGTGAACAATGTGAGCGGCCTAATACCAGTCCAAAATGGTGTCAATCGTGTGATCCTTCCAAGGAATCACACAAATATTATCCATCAAGTGGAAGCACAGAGATTGATAATTGCATCACAAATTTTCAACTTAAAGCGACTGCATATGAAAAAGTAATTGAATGGATTCCGTTTAAAGAATTATCTAATATTAAAGAAATTGGTAGAGGTGGATTTGGAATTGTATATTTGGCAATTTGGTTAGGTGGTAAGCGAATAGTCGAGAAAGTTGATGAAGGCTATAAACAATCACGTAGAATACCTTATGTTGTTGCGCTTAAAACTTTACTTGATTCTAAGTTGGATGCGTCTAAATTTTTAAACGAGGTAAGAATATTATCTATTTGATGTAAAATTTATTATATATATGGCCTAGAAAATTTTAATTATACAATGTTTTGATATTTTAAAGTTTAATACTCATATGGAATGTAGATTAGAAGGTATTGAACTTGAAATGTATGGATTGACCAAAAATGAAAACGATGAATTTTTGATGGTATTTCAATATGCCAATAGAGGAAACCTTAATGAATTTTTAACTCAAAATTTTAGCGAACTTACATGGCAAAAAAAATTGGAGCAACTTATATATATATCAAATGATTTACATCAGATTCACAGTGCAGGATTCATACATAGCGACTTTCACAGTAAGAACATTTTACTGAACCAAAATCTTGATGGAAAAATAAAATCATACATTGCAGATCTTGGATTATCAAGAAAAAAAGATGATAGTGCAAAAGGTGAAATTTGTGGAGTCCTACCTTATGTTGCTCCTGAAGTTTTATCAGGCGAAATGCAGTTTACACAAGCAGCAGATATTTATGGATTTGGTGTTATTATGACAGAAATTTCAACTGGACAAAGAGCCTTCGATGGACATGATTTTAATACCAAACTTTCATTAAATATTTGCAAAGGAAAGCGGCCAGAATTTACTCCTGAAACTCCTAGTTGCTATAAAAAATTGGCTATGCAATGTATGGATTCTAATCCAGATAAACGGCCAAAGGCATCTGAAATTCATGATGAACTTCAAGAATGGATTAAAAGCATAGTGGAAGATTCATATAATGATGAAATTAATAAGCAATTCTTAGATGCTGATAAGGAAATCAAAAAATTACAGCTTAATTCACCAAAACATCTAGCCTCTTTGTACACTAGCAAAACGCTTGTACAAATTTCGAGTGTAATTGAAGAGATTTAGTTTAAAAAAAATCTACTGTAAATAATTATCTCTTTCTATATATATATAATTTTTACTTAAATTAAATTTTTGAATTAGTCTTTAATTAGCAAGCCTATGGAATATTGAAGTTCCTCCTAATAAATAAAGTAATATGTTAAACTTTAATTACTGTGTTGGTGTTTAGATAGTCGAATAATTATTAACTTTGAGTACTAAAAAAATAATAAAAAATATAACTTCTAAAAAAAAAAAAATTAAGTTTGCTAGCCATCCAATGGCCCATTGGATGTCCAGTAGATTTAAATTTTTTCATAAGCACGGCATGGCCTCGGATAGGGTTGTTAAAAGTCCGGTTCAGTTCGACTCGACTCCAAAAGTCGAGTCTTAATTTGTACTCGGTTTGAGTCAAGCTCGGGACTGACTTGTTAATTCATATGACATTTGTTAACATGATGTTACCAATAGTATTCAAAAATAATGATAAGGTCATCTTTAGGGCTCTGCAAGTAGGCACGCCGGGCACATTGGCACCAGGCCAGGCACTAGTGCCTCACGCCATGTCCATGCCTAAGGCACAAAAGTGCCAAGGCATTATTGTGGGCATGGGTACTGTTAGTGGCTAAACTAGATGTTCACGGGTCTAGATAGTCACTACGGGAAGACAAACACCAACTAAAAACCACACAACAAACCAGCAAGGGTGAGGCGGTTAAGATTTGGCAAGGGAAAAGGGTTTATACAAGAACCAGGATTCACTACCAAAAATGTCAAAGTTTTTAATTATTTATTCAAGATCGAACTTTTTTATTGTGGTTCTTTGGAACTGAACTGCTCTTTTGCCAAAGCAAATTGCAGGTTTATTTATACAAAAAAGTTGATACATTGTTATGAAGAAAAAAGAAGAAAAGAACTTCAACCTTTATCACATCATTTTGTCTACTCTTGAGATGATCTCTGGATGATTAGGCCTTTGCTTACGCGATTGTAAACATTCATCCTACACAGCCACGTGATTTCCCAGTTTGGTTTCATTTGGCTTATTTTACCTGTCAGTATCACCGCCTCATTTAGCCTTTTTGGGAGATGCTTGGTTAGCATTTTAAACCAGGTGTCCATACATGGTTCTCTCCCTAAGCCTCATCTGGGAATTCTCTAATCCATGGTCATCCCAGGACCTTCTGAGCGCTAATTATATCATAGATGCCATCATTGCATCTTTCTGATTCTTTTGTGACTTGCTTTGATCCTTTTACGCTCCTGAGGCTGCCTTGGGCTTAGTTGATTTAGGGGCTTCATAGGGGAATGCATTTCTCCTAATTTCCATTGATTTTGAGAAGGAACTGGGATCGGGACCTAGTCATGTTTTTGGGTCCCGTAATGGGGGTTTTAGTGCCACAGAAACTACCAGTTTACCATCAACAGTACAAATGCCAGGCATTTTATGAGCATGGGAAAAAAATAGCAGGCACTATTATGGCATGGCACAAAAGTGGCAGGCACTATTATGGCATGGCACAAAAGTGGCAGACACAGACACTATTAAGGGCATGCAAGACACAGCACAAAAGTAGCATACACAGGCACTACTAAGAGCATACCAGGCACTATTATAGGCACAGGTTAGAGCTCTGCAAGTGGGCACACCGGGCACATTGGCACTAGGCCTGGCACTAGTGCCTCACGCCATGCCCATGCCTAAGACACAAAAGTGCCAAGGCATTATTGTAGGCATGGGCACAAATGCCAGGCATTTTATGGGCATGGGCACAAAAGTGGCAGGCACTATTATGGCATGGCACAAAAGTGGCGGGCGCAGGCACTATTAAGAGCATGCAAAGCATGGCACAGGCACTACGAAGGGCATGCCAGACACTATTATAGGTACACAAAAAAAATGCTTGTACAATATGTTTAGTATGTTTAATTTGTGCAAAAGTCTATGAAAAGTATTGTTCTTGTCAACTAATAAAACTTGACAAGAAATATAAAAAAGGCTCCGGATATCAAATTAGCTTTTATAGTTAATATATTACATGAATAGGTGCTAATATTAAAAAAAGTTAGATATGATCAAGAATTCGTCAATTGGACTAAAAATTAACTAAAAATTTAAGGGTAGAGGGTATGTAGATTATTTCTATTAATAAACTAGTTGCTAAAAATTTTATATTTAATAATAAAGAAAATTTTTATTAAGCAACCATTTTAAA